TGCTCCTCGCGCTGGCATGCGTTGGAGGGGCGGGCACCACGTCCTCTGCGCACAAGGGCGCTGCCGTGGGGCATCCAGGACGCCGCCATGAGCGAGATACAGCAGGTGGCACTGGGGAACCAGCTTTATCGCACGGCCATATACTTGATCCTGCCGGGGCTCCCCCAATCAGGTCTCGGCGATCCTGGAGCACCCTGCCCCTCCTGCCTGGCGCCCACAGGCGCCTAGCAGTTGGCACCAACCAGAGGTCCGATGGCTGGCAGGGCTACCGCGTGCGGAGATCCTGTACCTGGACCAGTGCCAGCTCGGACAGCAGGCGCAGAAGCCGACGCAGCTGCTGACCGTGAATCTGCCAGAATTGGGACGAGAGCTGGCTGCACATCCAGGGGGGCCCAGGTGCAGGCACACATCCCATCGGGGCGTCTACGGCAGGGACGCTCGCGGGGGATGGCGGACGGCACCACTCAAAGAGTACCCGCCGCAGATGTGCCGTGCTATGGCGGCTGCGCTGCACTCCAGGTGGGGTGCAATCACAGCGGGTGAGGCGGCCTGGCCCGACGCAGACGAAGAGCAGTTCCTGCACTTCTACGCCCTTCTCGATCACTACCAGCTCGGGGACGCAGAAGCTGGCCACGACTGCTACAGGGCGGACTGGAGACAACACCGCCAATCAGACGATGGCCCATGAGCAGCGGGCACAAAGGGGGCCTGCAACCAGAATGATGGCACGACGGCCTCGCTCGCCACCAAGGGGGCGGAGAAGAAGATCAAGGACGTCCTCCTGGTCACCTCCCTCAGGGACATCAGCTGCAACCAGCTGGTGTGCAGCCTGGGGACATCAAGTACCTCGGGCTCCTGGTGGCTGAGGCGGAGATCGTGCAGACGGGCCGCCACCGAGGTGGAAGGTGGCGGCCCGAGAACGACCAGGCTCCCCGTCGCACCGCGGCGCGGGGAGACGCTCCATCACACTCTGAGGGCGCCCCAGGGGCCTCGACAGCGGGGGTCAGTAGACCCGCTTGGGTCCTGGGGCGCCGCGTGTTTCCCTCGGCCCCGTCCTTTCTGGTCCTGTTACGATTGTTTTGCGATCAGGTTTCCTCCGCTTTCCTTTCCTCCTGGGGGCCGAGGTTCGCTTTCGCCGCCGGCGCCTGCCTGCCGCGCGGCGGGGAGGCGGAGAGACGCTGCATTTTAGCGGGAAGCGTCAGAAACGTCAGGAGGAGGAGGGGGAGGAGGAGGAGGAGGAGGAGGAGGAGGAGGAGGAGAAGGAGGAGGAGGAAGGCCAGATTGGCCCCTGGCCCTCGAACGCCGCCGCTGCCATCGGCGGCGCGCGCTACTACGAGCACATCCACTTCCCCGATGACAGCATTAACCAAGGGTAGATTCCTTGAAGAGGTGTACGACATCTTCCTCTGGGCGTCGATTATCCGCGTCTACATAGGAGGCGTTCCAAAACTGGCCTTGCCTTCGAAGATCGACGGAGTTGCTTCCTATTCCCCGGCGGAAGGCGGCGGAAGTAAAACGAGGGCCGCTCCGCCGGCGGAAGCCGGCGGAAGCTCGGCGGAAGCCAGCGAATACAAGAGTCGACTTCCCAAGCGATGACAACATTTTTGGATTCAGGGTTTCCGAAGCCCGCCACATGGCACCACCGACTGTTGGCCAAGAGGGTGTAATTTCTACCATGAAAGACGCAGTGCTGACCCAGGCAACGCATTCAATAATTTGCAGGGTACCGACCATTACGTGCCCAACGAGCCCAAGATCGTTTCGTTATTTGCTGCACTAGCCGCGTGTGAACTACTTGAGCTACACGGATCAATGGTGCGTCGCGCTTGCAATGCGAGGAAGCGGTTCACAAGAGACCGTACTTGAACGATACAAGCGGTCAGAACAGCATTTTATTTACATAGGAGCACAGCAACGACGACCATGTTGATGCGTAGAAGTGCGTCTGCGAAGGAACGTCGCCATCCACACATGGAGGTGCCATTGGAGACACGGCTTGTGATATTATGACAAGAGCTACGAACAAGACGTGTGATACACAAGACAGCAGTCAGCACTTGCGTGGAAGCGCGGAACGAGGCAGGCCCCAAACAGTATCATGATAGTGCAACGAATTGCTACACAAGCTCGCCTAATCCATAGAGGCGAACCAGGAGATGGGTCAGGCATACGAGCACCTGTGTGCAATTACGTCGCGTGCATCACATGCGTGTTGCAGACGATCAAGCCCCACATGCGAAACTATTCTCCCGCGTTCAGGTCTTGGTTCTACCCCTAGGGCCCGCCTCCAGGCTTGCTCCCACGGTCTACCCCTAGACTTACTCTTGCCTTATCCCTGGAGCCAACCCAAAAGCTTGCCCGAGAACTACTCGTGAGGCCCATGCCTAGAGGCCCTCGTGGGATTGAGCCGGGGGTCTCATAGATCGTCGCGAGGGCCTCCTGGACTGTGCCGGGGCCTTCGTCGTCGCATTCGTCGCTGTACTCGTCGCCCTCCCCGTCGCACTCGTTGCAGTCGTCGCCGTTTGTGGCATCGGCGCTTTGTGACGGGATAAACAAAAAGAGGTTGAGCAGGAAGGGTGGGGGAGGGGGCACAAAATCTTTCTGTCAGGATTTCTGGCCGACCCAGGGGTCCCCTCTCGCCGCCCCGGGAGGGCCCCGACTGGCCCTGGGGAGCCCCGAGGGGTGCCCAGACCCGCCCCCGAGGGCCCCGGGGGGGCCCACGTCGTCGCCCCGAATGGGCTCGGCTCCGGAAACGCCTCTGTGCAGCCCGGGGAGGGGTCCAGGGGCCTGGAATCGTCGTGGGCGTTGGTCGTGCTCGTGCTCGTGCACGTGGTCGTCGTCGTCGTCGTCGTCGTCGTCGTCGCCCTCTGGTTCGGCCGGCCCGCGCGCCGGCTCGGCGTGGCTGGACGGAGGGAGGAGAAAGGGGAGGAGGAGGAGGAGGAGGAGGAGGAGGAGGAGGAGGAGGAGGAGGAGGAGGGCATAGGGTGGAGCCTACCCTGCGCCGCCCTAGGCCCTGGAGTAGGGCCTGGGGTAGCCGACACCCCCTCTGGTCTATACCTCCCCAGGGCGTGAACTGGGCCTTGAACTGCCGGGAAGCCCAGCACCCCCCAAAAAGGCCCAGAGGCCCATGCGGTTTCTCGGAGACCTGCTCGAGGCCTTCCCTTGTGCATAACCGAAGGCGGACCTTTTGTCCAAGCTCTCACCTCCCCGCTTCCGACTTCGAAGAGTGATTCCAGGAACTTGCCGGATCACAGAAGGGAACATACATTGGAAGAGGAATTGGAGGACATCAATGCGGGGATTGGCGTCGCTTCATCGTCAACGTTTACGGTCGACGTTGCCGTCATCTGAGATCGCATCTGCAATCGGGAAAGTCTGCGCTAGAACCTAAGCGCGCGAACCGCGCGCGTCTGTGATTCTCGTATATATAAACATATATAGGTATGTGTATTTAGACTTACGTATGTATTCATTCATTTACCGAAATGAACGCACATATGGGCAAGCTTGCATGTCAAGATGCACGCGCACATACGCACATACGCACATGTAAATGTTATACTAAATAGCGGGTCGTACAAATCAAGAGATGTAAGTACCAATTGGTTATATATACGCATACATATGTCTGGGTATTGTATGTATGTGTATATGGTATATGTTTGCGGTTGCGGGGCAGTGTTGGAAGGTGGTTTTGCTGAGTTCTTTCGAGGAGCCTCAATTTCACCATCCTGTGCCCGTCTGAGTAAGTCTTACCTGGGGCCATCGTGGGGCCCCCCAAGGCGCGATATTGGGTCGCGTAGGAGGCTGCGTCAGTGCTGTCATAGGGGCTTCTTGGGGCTCTCCAGTGCTTCCGATGGCCTACTGAGCCCCTCGGAAGCCCTAACCATCTTAATTCCCTACCTAGGCTCTGCCTAGAAGGGTTCTTACTCGCTTGGATTAAAGGGGCCGGGCAGTGCAAACCGCCCCAGGCGGTTCCCCTAGTCCCCTGGGAGCCAAGCAAAAGCAACAGCAAAGGTAAAAGCAAACGCGCGGTTCCCCCAGTTGCGCTCCCTGGGTGCCAAGCAAAAGCAAAAGCAAAGGCAAAAGTGAAGGCAAAAGCGAAGGCAACGCAAAATCATATCATAGCATAGCATAGCATAGCATAGCGCAGCATAGCATAGCGCAGCATAACATAGCATAGCCTAGCCTAGCATAGCCCAGCATAGCATTGCGCAGCATAGCATAGCAGAGCAGAGCAGAGCAGAGCAGAGCAGAGCATAGCATAGCCTAGCGCAGCACAGCATCTACTATTGCTGCTACAACTACGACGATGAGGAGAAGGAGGAGGACCGCGTTTACCGCTCCTACTAATGTTGCTTTCCTAGAGGCTCGAACTCCTAGGTAGGGTCGCACTACGATAATTTTCATGGATGGTTCATTGCCTCCCAGGGCGTTGCATGAGGATTGTTTGGACGCCTCTTGGAGGCCTCATGGCGCCTCTTAGGTTCTGATTGGTGCATGTTAGGGCCCTGTGGCATTCTGCAGCAGTCTCGAGGCGTGTGGCCCGTCTCTGGATGCACCTCCTTCGGAAGGGAACGTAGAGAGAGAGAGAGAGAGAGAGCCAGTGAGCTAGAGTGCCAGAGAGCCAGCGAACCCGAGGGACAGGAAGAGAGAGAGGGAGAGAGAGAGAATAGCACCGCACACTTGGGGGCTGAGGCTCGAGATCCGTCAAGGGCTGCACTGCTCGACGTGCCGAGACCTCCTGCAGCATCGGAGATGCCGTGGGCCAGAAGCCGCATCCGTACCCGCGGCTTCGCGGGCAAGGGCCCCTGGATCGCGACCCCGCGGATACGGGGCGTTTTCGTTGCGGATGCCTTGCGCGGCGCGTACCCGTAAGACAACGTGTCCGCGGGATCGCGCCCCGGAGTCCAGACCGATAGGGCGCGGATGCGGACATGTGCTCCGCTCATGGCGGTGGTCGGTGCATCGGCGCTTCCAAGCCGCGGTTGGCTGCCGAGGTCTTTGTACTCAGCCTCACAGGGCCCGACTTGCTGTACAAAAGTGGGACCAGGCCCATTCACGCCCTCGTGCGCTACCTCTTGCGGCGGGTGGTGCGAGAGGGAGGGGTAAGGGAGGATCAGATGAGGGAAATGTCACATGCGAATGGGATGTAGGGTAATGTCGGGGTAACGGCAAATGGCGGCCCAAGCGCAGCGCGTATATTTGTGACAACACCTGTCACCAGGAGACCAGGCCAGAAAAACATACACTATAGGTTGTCCTGCCGCGTTTTTGCGAAGCCCCACGGGACGGGGCCCCTTGTATCTTAGTGTATACATTCTCTTGTCCCATCATGGGGAACGATAGGGGCTAAGATATGCAAGGTTGGCATCGGATGGCGCTGCATACCTCGCCAGAGCCCACCTACGAGATGTTTGTTCGCACGACTTGTCCTTGATTTGCCAGTCGCAATGATATCGGCAGGACAACGCTGCCGCGCGTGGCATCTTTCTGCTATGCATTTGAGGGGGATGCTGACGACAAGAGCACAGAAGCCATAATGCCAGGTAGAACGAAGATCAGGAAGAGGAGCAGCAGTACGAGTAGATTGAGGAGGAGCAAGAGGATTGCGCGGTCAGTCCGAGGATGGAGAGGAACAAGAAAAAGCAGAACATGCCCGAACAGGTACATAATTATCCACAGCGGGAGCTTTCGAGCGGGAACACGAAGAGGTGCAGCGCAGATAGCTAGATACAGAACAGTAGCAGGTGTTGGAGTAGCAGCAGCACATGACAAAAGTAGCAGCAGTCGCAGTCGAGCGAGTGTCATTGTAGTAGCAACGTAGGGGTAGTAGTGGTAGTGGTAATGGTAGAGATAGTGGTTGTGAGAGTAGTGGAAGTAGTAGTAGCCGTCGTAGTAGTAGTAGTAGTAGTAGTAGTGATTGTAATAATTGTAACAGAAGCAGTAGCACAAGAGGTAGCAGTACTGGTGGTAGTGGTAGCGGTCGTAGTAGTCGCAGTAGTAGTAGTAGTAGTAGTAGTAGTCGTAGTAGTAGTAGTAGTAGTCGTAGTAGTAGTAGTAGTAGTAGTAGTAGTAGTAGTAGTAGTAGTAGTAGTAGTAGTAATCGTAGTACTAGCAGTAGCAGTAGTAGTGGTAGTAGTAGTTGTCGTAGAAGTCGCAGTAGTCGTAGTTTGAGTGATCGTAGGTAGTAGTAGTAGTAGTAGTAGTAGTAATAGTTGTAGTGGTTATAGTAGTGGTAGTAGTAGTAGTAGTAGTAGTAGTAGTAGTAGTAGTAGTAGTAGTAGTAGTAGTAGTAGTGGTAGTGGTGGTAGTGGGAGTGGTAGTGGTAGTAGTAGTAGTAGTAGTAGTCGTAGTAGTAGTAGTGATAGCGTTGGTACTTGTAGTAGCAGTAGTAGTAGTAGTAGTAGTAGTAGTAGTCGTCGTAGTAGTAGTAGTAGTAGTAGTGGTAGTACGTGTAGTAGTGATAGTGGTGGTACTTGTAGTAACGGTAGTCGTAGTGCTAGTGGCAGTGGAAGTGGTAGTAGTAGTAGGAGTAGTATTGGTAAACATGTAATAGTAGTCGTAGTCGTAGCAGCAGTAGTAGTAGTTTTCATCGTAATAATAATAGTAGTAGTCGTAGTCGTAGTCGTAGCCGTTGTCGTAGTAGTAGTCGTAGCCGTAGTCGTAGTAGTCGTAGTCGTGGTCGTGGTCGTGGTAGTCGCAGTAGTGGTTGTAGTAGTAGTAGTAGTAGTAGTAGTAGTAGTAGTAGTAGTAGTAGTAGTAGTAGTAGTAGTAGTAGTAGTCGTAGTAGTAGTAGTCGTAGCAGTAGTAGTAGTCGTAGTAGTAGGAGGAGGAGGAGGAGGAGCAGCAGTAGTAGTAGTAGTAGTAGCAGTAGTAGTAGTAGTAGTAGTAGTGGTCGTAGTGGTAGTCGTAGTAGGAGTAGTAGTAGTAGTAGTAGTAGTAGTAGCAGTGGTACTAGTTGGGTTAGTAGCACTCGTAGCCGTAGTAGTAGTAGTAGTAGTAGTAGTCGTCGTCGTCGTCGTCGTAGTAGTAGTCGTAGTCGTAGTAGTAGTTGCAGTAGTAGTTGTTGTTGTAGTAGACGTTGTTGTTGCTGCAGTAGTAGTAGTAGTAGTAGTAGTAGTAGTAGTAGTAGTAGTAGTAGTAGTAGTAGTAGTAGTAGTAGTAGTAGTAGTGGTAGTAGTCGTCGTCGCCGTCGTAGTCGTAGTCGTAGCAGTGGTAGTCGTAGTAGCCGTCGTCGTCGTAGTATCAGGTGTAGTAAACGCCGTAGTAGCCGTAGTGCAAGAACAATCGAAACAGATCGGCGGCCACAAGGCCGGTGAATCTCGGCATTTCGCCAGGTTGCATACAATGCCTGCCAGCACTGTCGCCCTGCGTCAGCGGCCTCTTTGTCCACTAGAGAGGCGTTTCACAGACGGTGCGCGAGGCTGCTGCGTAGTATTCATTTCATGTTCAATAGCAATTTGAAATACTGGCTGCCCATTTGAAGTCACCGACTCTCTGCTGTTAGTGGGAACTCCGTAAAACGATTGGCTTCCAATCGGAGTCCAATGTGGACCTCAACCCCCCAATGGCAATTCAATGCGAATTTGCGTATGCCAAACGAATGCTTGACGCTTCGCGTTAACCCCACCAACCCTCAGCCCGCAGCTGCTGTCTGAGTGGGCCGGCCGGCCTGCGCCTGTCTTAGCTAATTCGCCGAGTTCGCATCCCGGATTTTGCTCTCGCCGCCTGACCGTCGTCTCGTGGCCGCGACCGAAAAACTTAACCCCACCAGCCCATCCAGAAACGATGCCCAGAGGAATTGCCTCGATCAGGGAAGTGGGCAGCACACAGAGGAAAGGTCCCCCAATGGAGGCCTTTTGGAGCGTCTTGGGGGCGGTCCCGGACGCCTCTTGGAGCGTCTCGGACAGTTTCGTGGGGTCTTTCGGGGGTCTGTTGGGAGCATCTTGGAGGCCTCTTGTGCGCCTGTTGGGGCCTTCTGGGGCCTCCTCGGGCCTCCTCGGCGCTCTTGGGGCGCTCTTGGGCTCTTTTGGGGCCGTCTCGGGGCTCTCTTGAGCTTTTCTTGGGGCCCTCTTAGGCCATCTGGGAACCATATTGGGGCTTCGGATGGCCATCGGAAGCGGGATGGCGAGAAAGCCAAAAAACATTGATTGTCCGATTGATTTGGAACGAGTTGGGCCTCTTCGGGGCCTCCTGGGGGAGCTCTTCGGCCACTCCGTAGCCGTTTTGGCTCAAGTCCGGAGTGTTTTGGCACAGGACCTGACCTCACTGGCACGGGGGAGTGACGGCCCCCAAAGTCACGCCTCGCTGCTTGGTCAGACGAGGTTTTCTGCGTTTCGGCAATTCTTTCTCGAAGAAGGGCCTCGGCCCACCTTCCACTACGTCCCTTTCTCTTCTGTACTCTCGGGCGCCATGGCTCCGTCTGCTGACCACGGTTCTTCTGCATATTGGAGTTGGACCTACAAGCCCTGGGTTCGTCTTGGCGCCAAGGGCCCCCGTCACAATGGCCCCATGTGGAAATGCCTTTCATGTGGATGTGGAAAGAACCTGGGGTCTTTCGGTTGGTGCAAGCATTGCGGCGAATGGAAACCCAAGGATGTCTCTCACAATGCGAAGAACTCTCTCGTGCCAGAATCCAGCTGGGCCAGAGGCCCCCCTCCAGTTACTCAGCCAGTCGATGTCTCTCAGCTCGAACGTTCTGAGTTGGTTGCCATGCTTGCCTCGTCCAACAAGTGCGGCCAAACAGCTTTGGCTCAGGCATGCCAGCGGAGGCTGGATGAGCTGGGCAAGGGCCCTCCACCTGAGCCACCTTTGGAGTCTCGCTTGTCCAAGGCTCGATGGGCTCTCACACATCAGGACGCCAAGCTCAAAAAGGCCATGGACAAATATCACAAATGGCAGCAGGATTTGGAGCAGCACTGGGCACACGTGGAGGAGCTTAAGTCCCACTTGGATGAGCTCCAGGCGGAGTACGACAAGCTCGCCGCCTCTGTTCGCCCCACTGCGACGGCACCCGACCCCAAGCCCACGCTGTCCCTCTCTGCTCTCCTGGAGGACAAGCTCGACGGTTTCATCATTGATTTTGGAGATGTCTTCGCCATGGGCGGCGAGGAGGGTTTTGGGGAGGATGAACTCCGCCAGGCCGAGGAGCGCCGCGAGGCTCTCATCAAGGGCCTCCAGGACGGAGCGAAGAAGCTATTCGCTGATGCTGCTGCCAAGGCTAAGAAAGCCCGGGCGGCTCACCAGCAACAGATGGAACGTCTCGCTGCTAAACGCCGTCGAGCAGATGATGGGCCGACTGCCACCCCACCAGGAGCTGACGATGAGGCGCAGGCCGCTCGTGGACCACAAGACGCTGCTGACTCAAGCTCCTCAGCGGCTGCGACCCCCTCAGCCACCGCGGCTTTCGATCAGGAGAAAGCCCGCAGGCTGCAGCAGCAGAGGGAGAAGTCAAGCTCCTGACGGCTCAGCCAGGATCGCCACCCGCATACGACGACCTGGTGCTGGTGGGAAATCCACTGTGACTTACGAAGGTAAGCAGCATCCAGATTATTTTCCAGAGTTGTTCAATTCATCCGGCAAGTCTTCTCTTTCTATTCCTGTGGTTGGGCCTCTCTATTCGGATCAAGAGAAGACTTGGCATCTTTACATTCGAAATCTTTCCACTTGGGGCCCCTCCGCCAAAGGCCTCATTGACCAGCGCCATCATGATGCCATCCTCCTGGTGGAGACGCATGCTGGCCCAGAACATTCAGATGACCTCTTGCGGCATGGGAGCAAGAACGGCTACAAAGCGGTTTGCACCCCTGCCCGACCCACTGACAGGACAGCTCTTTCTGGAGGTGCAGTGATTGGGTTCAAGAACACTTTCATGACTTCCTCCTCAGGCACCTGGCCCTTAATCAGGCCCAGCAGGTTGGCATGCGTGATCTCTCATCTACCAAGGGAAACATCGATTTCTTTGACTTTGCCCCTGTGGTTTGGCACATCCAGGGAGTCTCTCTCTGTTTGATCTCGGCATATTTGACTTCCAGCATTGGCCTGAAAGGA